AAGAATTTACCATTAGATGCAGCTGCACCATTACTTTGTGCTGGTATTACAACTTATTCACCTTTACGACAACATAATGTTGGAAAAAATACACGAATGGGGTATTCAAATTAATTCAATATCAAACTACTTTTTGAATTCTATATATATATATATATATATATATATATAATTTATTTTAGAGTTATTGGTCTTGGTGGTCTTGGTCATATGGCTGTTAAATTTGGTGTAGCTATGGGTGCACATGTTACTGTTATTTCAACATCTGAATCAAAACGTGATGATGCAACAAAACTTGGTGCTAAAGCATTTCTTGTTTCAAAAGATGCAGAACAATTGAAAGAAGCAGAAAATTCATTTGATTTTATTATTGATACTGTATCAGCACAACATGATGTTGCTGCTATGATAAATTTATTAGCATTTCAAGGAGTTTATTGCATGTATGTATCATTTTTTTGTTTTTAGTTAATTAATATTTGAAAAATCTATATTACATTTAGGGTTGGTGCACCACCAAAACCAGCAGAAATTCCATCATTTGTTCTTTTATTTAAACGACCAATCATCACTGGTAGTCTAATAGGTGGTATGAAAGAAACACAAGAAATGCTTGACTTTTGTGGTAAACATGAAATAACATGTGAAATTGAAAAGATAGAAGCAACACCAGAACAAATCAATGTAGCTTATGATCGAACACTTAAATCAGATGTGAAATATCGCTTTGTAATAGATATATTAAATGCATTTAAATAATTATTTCTGTTTTTTTTTTTACTTTATGAAAAAGTTCTTGATACCTGATATTTACAAAAATGATGAATAAAGTCAAAATATCATTTTCATTATCTCATCGATACTTGAATTTATTTATAATTGAAGTAAATTAGAAAACAAAAATTAGTAAATAAAGAAGTTGTATTGTCGAATGACATGATGTAAAAATGATCTCATATTAGAGAAAAAGTTTAATTAACGAATTAGGAATGTTGATTTACTTTTCGCTACAGTATCGTTGTTGACAATTGATTGATTTTTATGTTATTGAAAGAATGATATTAGATGTTAGTTATGACAAAACTTATTTTTTCTAATCGAAATGTTGTTGCAATATGTCGAGAAAACTCAATGTATAAATTCATGATTTCTTTTTTCATATAGGAAATGAAATATATAACATGCTGTCTTTTTATTGAACAAGAAACAATGTTTATTTTTAATGAAACGTTACAAAGAAATCAGAGGTATTACATATTCTATTTGTATACTTCGATGCTTACTATTTTATAAAAAGAAAGTGATAATATCTAAAAAAAAAAACTTCTACATGGTATTCTCATATCATATCGCCGCAGAGTTTAATGCATTTCATATAATTTTGTCATAATCATTACATGAAACTACGCAGTTATTTTTTCGTTATTTTGAGATGATACATGTAAGTTATTAAATAATGTGTTGTTTCTTACTAATAGCATTATGATACAGAATGTTTTTAAGTTTAGAAAAAATATATTGTTACTTCCTTTTTTTAGAGCGCAAAAGGAAGTTCGTTGTTTTATGTTCCTACGTAAAGGGCATATTTTTTCTATTTAATTGATTTGATGTAAATATCAGATACTGCGTCATATATGCAACACAAGACCTTCGATGACTCAAAATATTAACCAACAATAATAATATAGAAGCGATCGGTAAAAAGACGAAAAGGAAATATTTTCTTGTTGACAACATGGAATATAAACATAATATGACATAGTAGCCCAGCGAAAGGTTGCAATATTTATAATACAGTAGCAGAACAAACTATAATCTCTGTCAGTGTTGCGAATAGTAACCGTAGGAAACAAAATCACAATGTATGAAACATTTTTTACATCCACTGTAGATGGTGTTTTACATTTTTGCTCACTAAAGTAGCATGTGAACAGTACAATTTATTTTGTCTTAGATAGAAAAAAAAAATCTCTCTTACAATTTGAATAAATATTCACTAACATTAATACGTGATAAAGTGCAAAGTGCGACCTCTGTTAATCGATTCTACTGCTAATCTTATGTTCGTTTTCTCTCTCTTCTGCTGATATTCATTCGAATAATAGTAATTGACCGAAAAATATAGTTAGTAGAAATTAGTTTAAATCATATATGCCAAGTTACTTTCTTTGGTTTCGTTGCGATCTTCGATTTCATTTTCGTTCAATTATTATTATCCTATTCAATTATTCGTTTATTTCTATTGTTGGTAACATCGTATAAAATGTTCTACTTTATTGCATGTCGGTTGACTATTTACATTTATGACTTATTGTGCTCGCATTGTTACGAGCTTTACACAATTAATATATAGGTACAAGTATATTGCTTCTTTAATAAAAGCTTGATGAAACAAAATCAAGAAAACAATTGATTGTGATAGACGATTAGAATCAAATTCTTCTTTTTTCTGGAATGCTATCTAATTATTTAAGTTTGAAGGACGTATACTCAGAGTTGATGATGTCCAAATTTATATTCATCATTTGCGCTATTGGTCATACTGATATCGGCTATCAATTTCATAAGCATTAGGAAAACTCAGACTACCCTATGAGACCAGGTCATGAAATTATTGAAGTTGTTGAATAACTAAGTTCTAGTGTCAAACATTTATGGATGGATGTTTCATGTTGAAGTTATCTGTATGGTTGGTTCATCACTTTGTTGCAAACATTGTGTGTTGCCTTCATATTTTTATCGAAGCTTTTTTTGGCTTCAAATTATTTAGATGAAAACAATTTTGAATAACATTGTCATGACACATGTATACATTCAATGATGTTGAACTTGACAAAGTAACACTAACAATGAATGTAAACATCATTATCTCAAAAACGATAATTATTCCCATTATGTTGACCGTAGGTTATTCGAGTTTTGTTGCTAATAACCTGCGTGTAAAAAGTCTTTGCACCAAATATATCTTCAATTTTCTTTCACTTAAAGGTCACAGGAGATAATCAAAAGAGTCAGCTAGAATGAGATGTTCATGCTCTTTCTAAGTATATATTCAGAAATTTTTTCCGAGTTAAAGTTGATTTAATAAGAGCAAATTTTCGTAGTGAGCCAAAAACGACGTTTGAACAGAATTTTTTATGTAGTACATTTCTGTACATTGATTAAAAGTGCCTCATTTCTACTTATAAAAAAGTCTTCTTATGCGCTAGTTTGTAGAACGAAGTTTATTCTACAAAATGAACACTTTGCTTCGCTTACCACGTATTGTTGAAGATCATCAGAATCTATTGTAAATATCAATATTTTCAAAAACCGATTATTTTGAAAAATATGATCTCAGCTACAGAATAACATTTGGAAAACTGTTTTCAGATTTTGACTCTTTTGAGATATAACTTATTTGAATCGATTGTTTTGTACAGCATGAAATTCTCTATAAAACTAGAAAGGAAAAACTATCTCAAAATACTCTTTCGAGAAATGGCACATCATAGAAAAAAATTTATTTTGAGTAGCACAAACGGTATTTTTTATTTATTCAGGTATTTGTTTATAGCTAACTGGCCGTAAGTCAGAGTCAAGTTCAAACGAGACATCTTAGAAGAGTATCGAATTCTGGTTCTACCTAACTAATTAGTTTCGGTACCCTCCAATTAAAGTTAAATGTCCAAAAAATGATTAAACATTTTTACTTAGACTTTTGAAAGTGGTGTTTTTTTACAAACGTCGTTTTTGGTTCTCTACGAAAATTTGCTCTTATTGAATCAACTTTAATTCGGAAAAAATTCTGAATATATACTTAGAAAGAGCATGAATATCTCATTCTAGCTGACTACTTTTGATTGTCTCCTGTAACCTTTAAGTGAAAGAAAATTGAAGATATATTTTGTGTAAAGACTTTTTACACGCAGGTTAGAGAATATTTTATATGTAAAGTTCCTAAGAATTTACCATTAGATGCAGCTGCACCATTACTTTG